CACCCCCAAAGCATAATGTTTCCACCTCCATGTTTGACGGTGGGGATGGTGTTCTTGGGGTCATAGGCAGCATTCCTCCTCCTCCAAACACGGCGAGTTGAGTTGATGCCAAAGAGCTCCATTTTGGTCTCATCTGACCACAACACTTTCACCCAGTTCTCCTCTGAATCATTCAGATGTTCATTGGCAAACTTCAGACGGGCATGTATATGTGCTTTCTTGAGCAGGGGGACCTTGCGGGCGCTGCAGGATTTCAGTCCTTTACTGCGTAGTGTGTTACCAATTGTTTTCTTGGTGACTATGGTCCCAGCTGCCTTGAGATCATTGACAAGATCCTCCCGTGTAGTTCTGGGCTGATTCCTCACCGTTCTCATGATCATTGCAACTCCACGAGGTGAGATCTTGCATGGAGCCCCAGGCCGAGGGAGATTGACAGTTATTTTGTGTGTCTTCCATTTGCGAATAATCACACCAACTGTTGTCACCTTCTCACCAAGCTGCTTGGCGATGGTCTTGTAGCCCATTCCAGCCTTGTGTAGGTCTACAATATTTTCCTTGACATCCTTGGAGAGCTCTTTGGTCTTGGCCATGGTGGAGAGTTTGGAATCTGATTGATTGAATGCTTCTGTGGACAGGTGTCTTTTATACAGTAACAAGCTGAGATTAGGAGCACTCCCTTTAAGAGTGTGCTCCTAATCTCAGCTCGTTACCTGTATAAAAGACACCTGGGAGCCAGAAATCTTTCTGATTGAGAGGGGGTCAAATACTTATTTCCCTCATTAAAATGCAAATCAATTTATAACATTTTTGACATGCGTTTTTCTGGATTTTGTTGTTGTTATTCTGTCTCTCACTGTTCAAATAAACCTACCATTAAAATTATAGACTGATCATTTCTTTGTCAGTGGGCAAACGTACAAAATCAGCAGGGGATAAAATACTTTTTTCCCTCACTGTATATAAATACAAACCAGAGAAATGTCAAAACAATATTTATTTATGGTGGCGACTGTGGCAGTAATTGAATCTCGGGTCGAATGGAAAAGTTCAAGCGGAATGCACATTGCCTTTGCTGTCTGCCACCCACCCACGTTGCTGTGGAAACAGAGAAAGGTTCTTTCAAACTGATCTGTTGACCTGATGATGTTCCAGAATGCCCTGCGTCCTTCATACGAGCTCTGACCCAGCAATCTGCTTGGCGGCGGCGGTTGTTGTTGTTGTTGTGTTGGTGTTGTGTGATAGGGGGATATTAAGCCACAGCACCCTATTTAAAAAGGGCAGTAGGCTACAATGACCTCAAGGTATAAGCCAAGGGGTGGGTCCCAAATGGGACCCTTTTCCCCTATAGTCAAAAGTAGTTAACTATATAGGGGATAGGGTGCCATTTGGAGGAGATGTTGCTCTATAAAAGAGTGGGATGGGATAGTGGAGGGACAGTGGGGATAGAGAAAATAGGCTAAAACTAAAAAGACCGAAAGATGCCCCAAGCACTGCCAGAATCCTGTTGTGTGATTAGCCTTGGTAGATTGGGAACTAAGAAGTCCAAAACCCACCAGAGGTTTATTGGCATTTCACGGCGGCAAACAAAAGTTAATGATCCGAGAAAAAATTTGTCACGGTTGGCGCAGAGATGACTTCCTTATCGTGAAGAGAAAGAGCTCTGGCTTTGAACATTACCTTCTCCTCCACACTAACACAGGGTGTTTCATTTTTTCCCCTCTTTTTTAAAAGGCAGTCCATTACTATTTAATGAAGAATTCTGCCACTGAGTCGCTTTCCGACTTCATTTAACAACGTTTTGGTGTCAGTGGAGGGTTGCGTCAGTTTCTCTACCCTCAAACTTTTACAGTAAATAATTTAGAGGCCTCCTCGGCTGCAGCTAGCGCACGGCTCAGAATGGCTTTATCTAACTACCTCTAGCCATCCTGTCCTCCCTCCTTTCCTATAACAACCTTGATTTGTGAACATTAAACCTCCCTTTTTCCATTTTCCTCCAAACTTCCATGCGCTTGGATGCTCTGTTGAATTACACTGAGTGCAACTCCAAGTGTCATAATGACTCTTTAAATTGCTACGCTTCTGTCTGTTGGTTTGCACTGAGACGGAGTCAAGACGTGATGCCAAATTCTATGTTGTCATCTTGTCACTAATAAAATGCTTTGTTTTACACTGAGTGTACAAAACATTAGGAACATGACATCCCTTATTGATGTCACTTGTTAAATACACTTCAATCAGTGTAGATGAAGGGGAGGAGACTGGTTAAAGAAGGACTGTTAAGCCTTGAGACATGGATTGGGTGAATGGGCAAGATACAAGATTTAAGTGCCTTTGAATGGGTTATGGTAGTAGGTTTCAGGAGCACCGTTTTGTGTCAAGAACTGCAACGCTGCTGGGTTTTTCACGCTCAACAGTTTCCCGTGTTTATCAAGACTGATCCACCACTCAAAGGACAACCAGCCAACTTGACAACTGTGGGAAGCATTGGAGTCAACATGGGCCAGCATCCCTGTGGAACGATTTCGACACCTTGTAGAGTCAATGTCCCGATGAATTGAGGCTGTTCTGAGGGCAAAAGGGGGTGCAACTCATTATTAGGAAGGCGTTCTTAATGTTTTGTACACTCAGTGTATATATATTTAGTGTGACTGTCATCCCGTACCCCTTCCCCGTCAGTGTCTCTCTCTCTGTCTGGAGTGTGTCGTGTCTCAGGCCTTGACATGGACTGGGGGGCTCTGGTGGGTTCCACTAATTCCACTCCATTAGTCATTCAGCATCTTTTTGTTTTACAAGCATTTCGCTGCACCCGCAATAACATCTGTTAAATATGTGTATGTGACCAATCAAATTAGATTTGATTTGATCTAGCACAGCTACCTGCCTGTCCCATATACCATCCCTCCTCTTAGTGAAGCCATTATACATAGGGTACTGTAGTGTACAGTAGTCGTCAACATTAACTTAGTGCTTGAGGAACAGAGGATAAGACATCCACAGCCATATCATGTCTGTGAACATAAACAAAAACGTGACCGACATGAATAAAAACTTCTGGGGATAAAATTATACATGTAATTTATTCAACAATTATAACACCAGGTGTTTGCCATTGACATCAAATATTTTTTCGGTTGGGACACGTGCCAAGTAGGCATTAGGCACTTAATAGGAGAAAGAAAAGTTGTGTGTTCCAGCCTGTGATAAGAGGGGGGCAGACAAGCCTGTCAGACACAGACCAGTGGAGCATACCTCCAGACAGATGGAGAGGGAGGCTCACCCCTAGGGACTCTAGTGTCACCGAACACACACGCCCCTCCTCCCCCCTCTGAGCTGTTTCAGCCCCTGTTAACACCTCACACCAGGCTTTGGGCTCCATCTCATTTGAACTTCATCAAATCAGAAAGCTAACTGAATTCAATGTATGGATTGAAAAAAAAAACTCCTCATTGAAGATGAATGGCAGTTTTCAACTCACATGATTGAAAATCAATGAATCAATTGAAAACTGCCATTGACTTCTTGAAATGACTGACTTGAAATGGAATTCACCACAACCCTGCTACACACTGCTGCATAGTGCATAGTCTACCACGTCTGCATGACCCCTTCCATGGCCATCAATATTAATGAGTATAAAGGCTATTAAAGTTAGAGCGCAGAGTTACCACAGACTAACCAGAACCATGTATGAGAGTCAAGGTCAAAACTGACATGTGACTTTAATACAGAGAGTCCACAGCTGAATACCAAAGGAAATCAGAGATAGGATATAGGCTTTAAGATTTGGATTTCAATTCCAGAGGTTTGGATGACAATGCAGACCCAGAGTACAAGTCTTTCCAAACCATAACTGTCAATCAGTTCTTCAATGCTTCACAGATCCTTACCAAGAGGTGGTCTCTTTTTCCTAACACAGTAGAACTTCTAAATCAAGGTTTATTCTTTAGGTAGGCTACATTTACAACCTTCCCATCCCACTAAGATGAAGTAAGCAGATAGGGCTCCTATTCAGCCTTACATGATGTACTAAGGAGTGGATAAGGGCAGAAGCGCAGGGAGTCTTTTTCCTTGAATGGAACGCGGCCCAGCTCTTCTCCCCCTGGGCAGTGCGAATCCCAGACAGAGACAGTGTATTAGGAGGGGGAATAGGGCGCACTTGAAGCCTACGCACTTCATCAATAATTGATGAACTCCAGCACAATTACAAAGTATAATGGGTCCTTTTATCTTCACTGCAGGAGACAGAGTCTACTCTTCTAGTCTGACAGACGGTAAAAACGCTGCAGAGGTTATTTTCCTCCCTCTCGGTCTGTCTGAATGGCTGGGCTTAATGTGAAAACAGGCAAAGAAGATGCTTTTTTACCCTCGTATATCAAAGTGCCTCCCCAACCCATTCCTCCGGTAACAATCAATAGGGTTAGAGGTCAACGGAGAGAGCTGCCCTCGAAGAGTCACACAATCTGCAGTAGTTCCGAGAACATGTGACTGTTGGAGCTACATTTACCAAGCACTAGCCAATCAGATTTGGAGATGATGAGGAATAATGTGGCCGCAGAGAAACACTCCAGGTACTGTGGTACTTTTGTGTTTGATTCCTTGGCGTTTTGTTGGTCATTTGTTTTCAGAGGACCATAGAATGTGACTAACCAAGACAAAAAACATATTCTGTGCATCAGCTCGTTCAAATACCTTCATCTGTGCAGGGATACTGTCTGGTACTCAGCACCCATATAATCCACAGAACACCATTGTCAGTAAATCAGGGTCGTGGCAAAAAGTTTTTCACTGGAGCAAGAGAAAACTAAAACAAACGTTTCTTATTGGACAATTTCAGGTAGTCCCTCCCCGTGTCGGTCCGTTTGCTTCTGTTTGGTTGCCAGTGAATACGACCATATAAGCACACTATGATCTAACTGGAACAACGCCCCCTGTTGGGAGGCAATGATATGACACCTGGCAGGTGTTGAGGTGAGGGTAGTTAATACCAGTAAAGACTTACGCAGCTCTCCCACTTTGAGGGTCTCACACAGCATCTTGGTCAGCTCGATGCTGCTGCGGCCGAACGGACACTCGTGCTTGTCCTCACGACTGCTGTTCTCCAGAACAATCTGGAACAAGGACAGAAAGTCACTCAAACCATCGATCCATCAACGTTTTCGCAAATACTTTTGTCAAGCATTTAACAGCTACCCAGGCACAGACAGAGACAGACAGAGATAGAGACACAGACATAAAGACAGACATAAAGACAGACAGACAGACAGACAGAAACAGACAGACACATCCCAACTAGGGCCTTTAATGAACTGGAACCATGTGACCCTTGATCTATTAATCCAGTGAGACCACACTGAGGTCATAGTTGACAGAGATGATTCTCTTGGAGAGAGTCGGAGTGGGACATAGAAACCAGAGGCAGCAGAATGTCACCAACAGGACAAGGAACTGGGACACAGCTAACCGGATTATCCTATCTCTATGGTACCATCTTAATTCAATCAAAATCAAATCACATTTTATTTGTCACATGCACTGAATACAACAGGTGTAGACTAACAGTGAAATGCTTACTTAGGAGCCCTTTCCCAACAATGCAGAGTTAAAAAGTAAGAACAATTTGCAAAAAAATATAAAAATAAAAATAGCAACACAATAAAATAACAATAACAAGGCTATATACAAGGAGTACAGGTACCGAGTCAATGTGCAGGGGTACGAGGTAGTTGAGGTAGTTGAGGTATTATGTACATGTGGGTAGGAGTAAAAGTGACTAGGCAATCAGGATAGGTAATAAACAGAGTAGCAGCAGAGTATGTGATGTGTGTGAAAGAGTGTGAAAGTGTGTTTGTGTGAGTGTGTGTGTTTGTGGCGTCAATATGCATGTGTGTGTATGTTTTGTGAGTGTATGTAGTGTGTGTGTGTGTGTGTATGTGTGTATGTGTGGGTAGGGTCCAGTGAGTGTGCATAGAGCCAGTGCAAAGAAAAATAAATACATTAAAAGGGGTCAATGTAAATAGTCCGGGTAGCCATTTCATTAACTGACATGACAAATCTTTTCAGCCTCCTGAGGGGAAGAGGCATTGTCGTGCCCTCTTCACGACTTAGTTGGTGTATTTGGACCATGATAGGTCCTTAGTGATGTGGACACCGAAGAACTTGAAGCTCTCGAACCGCTCCACTCCAGCCCCACCCAGAGGTCAGACTAAGGACAGCAGCTATTGGAGGTTATTACAGTATCAGTCATTATACTGCACCTTATCTACCGCCGATGTCAAATCTCAAAGACATTCCAATCTCAATGCGACATTGCTTTGATTAAAAGACATCTTTCCTTCTACATAAACATAAACATTAACATTGCGAAAGCCTCTATTATTTACATTTGAACCTTGTTTGAACCTTAAACGGTCCACTTGCACACGGCGTGTTTAATTCATAAATCAATTCCCCATGTAAAAATGTATAACGTTGCCGCAGCGACAAGCCTACACCGGAAACCATTAGCATCCTTATCATCGTCGTGGTGACAGTTTCATTTGGGAAATTGGTGGCTGTGTTTTGTCACAGCAGCGGGCAGAGGAGAGGGAAGGGCTGGCCTGTGTGTGTGTGTGTGTGTGTGTGTGTGTGTGGTAGGTTTAATATTAGATGGACAGTATGCCACCATCCTTTCAATTCCACATTTATTTTCACAGGTCATCCACTGCCCTTCTACAAGGACGCATGCACGCACACAGGCAGGCACACACACAATCACTCACTCATAGGCATGGGATGCCCACTAACCAAACCAATGGCACCTGCCCACAGTTTAGGCTGAGTTAAATTAATTCAGGATTAATACATAAACTTGATTTGATTTAGTTGCGTCCTTGTATAAAATGTATGGTGTTTGTCACTGAAACTAGGAAATTGACAAAAAAAACATCGGCAGGATTCCTTTCTCTCCTGTGAATGTGTAGATTTGTTAAACGTAGCCATATGCTATAGTATTGGTTTGACTGAATTCCAAGGCTACATATTGGCATGGTGTTTCAGACAGACTGCTTGGACAGAGCCCAGGGAATCTATTGAGTGAGGGATGGGCCATGGAGTGATAGAGAGAGTTTAGGCAGTGTGTGTGTGTGTGTGTGTGTGTGTGTGTGTGTGTGTGTGAGTGTGAGTGTGTGGGTGTGTGTGTGTGTGCTACTAACCCTGATGTAGGCATCCTGGTGGTGTCTGGCGAAGTACAGCATGTTATCCAGAGCCAGCATCCCAGGAGGAATCTGAGTGAAGTCCATTGCAGGGTTCACATGGTTCTGATGAGAGAGAGAGACCGAAAGAGATAAAGAGAGAGCAAGAGAGAGAGAGAGCAAGAGAGAGAGAGAGAGAGAGAGAGGAGAGAGAGAGAGGAGAGAGAGAGAGAGAGAGAGAGGAGAGAGAGGAGAGAGAGAGAGAGAGAGAGAGAGGTAAGTGGGCGGTGGTCATCTGACAAACATGTTTGAACAAGACAAGGATGAGTCAGAAAAATAAATAAGACAAGGTTGATTGGTAGACTATCTCCATTAGCACTGTAACACGTCTGAGTGAATGGAGGAGATAGAATGAGAGGGGAGAGAAAGGAGGGAGAGAGACGGAGAGAGACATGGAGGGGTCGCAGAGATCCAGCTCTGTAATTGTTCCTGACCGCCATCAGCTTCACAGACAGAATGGAAGAACCACATCCTTTCACACTACCTTCACCACATTTGAAGCAAAAGTCCAACTAAACCAATTTCTCTTCAAGATCCACAGGCCAGGTCTACAGTGAGGGGAAAAAAGTATTTGATCCCCTTTTGTACGTTTGCCCACTGACAAAGAAATGATCAGTCTATAATTTTAATGGTAGGTTTATTTGAACAGTGAGAGACAGAATAACAAAAAAAAAATCCAGAAAAACGCATGTCAAAAATGTTATAAATTGATTTGCATTTTAATGAGGGAAATAAGTATTTGACCCCCTCTCAATCAGAAAGATTTCTGGCTCCCAGGTGTCTTTTATATAGGAAACGAGCTGAGATTAGGAGCACACTCTTAAACGGAGTGCTCCTAATCTCAGTTTGTTACCTGTATAAAAGACACCTGTCCACAAAAGCAATCAATCAGATTTCAAACTCTCCACCATGGCCAAGACCAAAGAGCTCTCCAAAGATGTCAGGGACAAGATTGTAGACCTACACAAGGCTGGAATGGGCTACAAGACCATCGCCAAGCAGCTTGGTGAGAAGGTGACAACAGTTGGTGCGATTATTCGCAAATGGAAGAAACACAAAATAACTGTCAATCTCCCTCGGCCTGGGGCTCCATGCAAGATCTCACCTCGTGGAGTTGCAATGATCATGAGAACGGTGAGGAATCAGCCCAGAACTACACGGGAGGATCTTGTCAATGATCTCAAGGCAACTGGGACCATAGTCACCAAGAAAACAATTGGTAACACACTACGCCGTGAAGGACTTAAATCCTGCAGCGCCCGCAAGGTCCCCCTGCTCAAGAAAGCACATATACAGGCCCGTCTGAAGTTTGCCAATGAACATCTGAATGATTCAGTGGAGAACTGGGTGAAAGTGCTGCCTATGACCCCAAGAACACCATCCCCACCCTCAAACATGGAGGTGGAAACATTTTGCTTTGGGGGTGTTTTTCTGCTAAGGGGACAGGACAACTTCACCGCATCAAAGGGACGATGGACGTGGCCATGTACCGTCAAATCTTGGGTGAGAACCAGGGCATTGAAAATGGGTCGTGAATGGGTATTCCAGCATGACAATGACCCAAAACACACAGCCAAGGCAACAAAGGAGTGGCTCAAGAATAAGCACATTAAGGTCCTGGAGTGGCCTAGACAGTCTCCAGACCTTAATCCCATAGAAAATCTGTGGAGATAGCTGAAGGTTTGAGTTGCCAAACGTCAGCCTCGAAACCTTAATGACTTGGAGAAGATCTGCAAACAGGAGTGGGACAAAATCCCTCCTGAGATGTGTGCAAACCTGGTGGCCAACTACAAGAAATGTCTGACCTCTGTGATTGCCAACAAGGGTTTTGCCACCAAGTACTAAGTCATGTTTTGCAGAGGGGTCAAATACTTATTTCCCTCATTAAAATGCAAATCAATTTATAAAATTTTTGACATGCGTTTTTCTGGATTTTTTTGTTGTTATTCTGCCTCTCACTGTTCAAATAAACCTACCATTAAAATTATAGATTGATCATGTCTTTGTCAGTGGGCAAATGTACAAAATCAGCAGGGGATCAAATACTTTTTCCCCCTCACTGTACCTACTACCAACTACTGCCCACTAAATACAGCACTAGATCAACTTTACCAGACAATCCCCTTCGTTTCGTTTGTGTGTGTGTGTGTGTGTGTGTGTGTGTGTGTGTGTGTGTGTGTGTGTGTGTGCGCATGCTTTCATGTGTTCGTGCTTGCATGTGCGCGAGTGTGTGTGTGTACGAGCGTGTAAAGTCGGAGGGGTATTTTCGGGGGTTTCCGCACCACTGGAGAAAATGAAGTCAGGCCTTATCTTAAGGCAGCACACTGGGGTCTTAGCGAGCCGCAGAGCCCCTAACAGCTCAGGGACTTAGAGAGGAAATGATGGGCTTAGTTCCCACTCACCATGGATACGACAGCGATACGCCACAGCTCAGACACACCCAGAGAGAGGGGAGGTAGAGAGATAGGAAGAGAAAAATAGGTGTAGAAATCTCTCTCACACACTCACACACTCACACACACACACACACACACACACACACACACACACACACACACACACACACACACACACACACACACACACACACACACACACACACAGAGAGCATAGTGTAATCTTCTAAACCAATTAACCGAGACCAAAACGAAATCTAGTTAGTCCAACAGCTGAAGTTTTGGGGATGCAGAGGCTAAACACTGTTCCTGTGTGTGTGACTTACAAGGAAACCTAGTTTCTTGAAGCCCAGTCGCGGTTGTTTGTGTGTGTGTGAGTGACTTACAATGAAGCCCAGCTTCTTGTAGTCGCGGGTGTACATGGACTTCCTCTTCTCGATGCTGCCACTGTTGTTCGGCTCACACTCCACGTCAAACGCAATCCTGCGCAGCTCAAAGATGATGTCTCTTTGGGCCTAGGCATATATATGAGGACAAAAACATTTAGACATACACTGAGTGTACAAAACATTAAGAACTCTCTTTCCATGACATAGACTGACCAGGTGAATCCAGGTGAAAGCTATGATCCCTCATTGATGTCACTTGTTATATCCACTTCAATCAGTGTAGATGACAGGGAGGAGACAGGCTTAAGAAGGATTGTTAAGCCTTGAGACAATTGAGACATGGATTGTGTATGTGTGCCATTCAGAGGATGAATGAGCAAGACAAAAGATTTAAAGTACCTATGAACGGGGTATGTCAAGAACTGCAACAATGCTGTGTTTTTCACGCTCAACAGTTTCCTGTGTGTATCAAGAATGGTCCAGCACCCAAAGCACATCGAGCCAACTTGACACAACTGTGGGAAGCATTGGAGTCAACATGGCCCGGCATCCCTGTGGAACGCTTTCGACACCTTGTAGACTCCATGCCCTGACTAATTGAAACTGTTCTCAATATGAGGAAGGTGTTCCTAATGTTTGATATACTCAGTGTACATACACAGTAAAAACATCAAATCGGCAAATCATTACATAGGCATTATTCCAAGGTAACTATATCCTTACATAGTACTTCCACATTTCACTGATAATTCACAGGTAGAGAGAGACAACGTGCTCAACTCTTATCCTCTTGGGAAAACCTATAAAAGGGTGCTTGGAACCAAAAATAGATTAATTTGTGGATATTTCACTGGAAATTACTATTTGATAAGGCCTATGTGGCCAACAGCTTGAGGGACATTGAGTTGAGAGGCCTTAGTGTACCTGGTCCTGAGGGTCCATCTTGGTCATCATCCGGTCCTCTAAGAGGTTAAAGGTCAGGACCTGCAGCACGTACAGCTGGTGGGCCATCTCATCATTGATTGGCTTAGGGCTCCGGATCACGTTCTAGAGGAAAGAAAATACAAAGAATGTAACAAAAAAACACGAAATAAATAAGAGAGAGAGAGCGAGAGAGAGAGTGAAAGCCTGAGAGAGAGAGAGAAAGGCTGAGCGAGAGATGTGAGAGAAAGGCTGAAGGAGAGAGAAAGGCTGAGCGAGATAGAGAAAGACTGAGCGAGAGAGAGGCTGAGCAGGAGAGAGAGCGAGAGAGCGAGAGAAAGACTGAAGGAGAGTGAAAGGCTGAGCGAGAGAAAGGCTGAGTGAGAGAGAGAAAAAGGCTGAGCGAGCGAGAGAAAGAGAGAAAGGCTGAGCGAGAGAGAGAGAGAAAGGCTGAGCGCGAGAGAGAAAGACTGAGCGAGAGAGAAAGGCTGAGCGAGATAGAGAGAGAAAGGCTGAGCGAGAGAGGGAAAGGCTGAGCGAGAGGTACAGATGGAGGTGATTACTGGACACACTTACACTCAGTATGATGGAACGCAGCTGCTTCTGGGCTAGAATGTGGGCCATCTCCTATACAGACAGACAGGGACAGAGAGAGGAGGGAATAAATGGGAGAAAGAAAGAAAGAGGAAAAGAGACAAAAGAAGAGCAAGAAAGAAAAAGAGGGAGAGAGGATAGAGAACAGGATAAGTAATAAGCGAGAGAATGACAGAAAGGAAGAGAGAACGTGAGAGAGGGAGAGAGGGGGGAGAAAGTGAGCACACAGTTACATTATGATATACATACCCGTTACACAGAAAACAAATTGTTCTTTCAGGAAGCTCTATATCAAAATAAAAGTGGATTATGTGCCCAAAATATCAATGATCTTCGCTGAGACGCCATAAACTTCTAGAGACTATAAAGTGTCTCTGAGTCTGAGCTAGATGAGGTAGGGCGGAACATTTTAATGACACATTTAATCTGCTAGAGAGGCTACAGAAGGTCGCTAATCAAAGTACACTTACTGTCAGAGGACAATCAAGGATGTTCACACTGCTCTCATCATACTACCATTACGAGTGCAGTGAGGAAAGAAGAGTCAGAGGCAGAAAAGAAGGGGGTGATTCAAGACAGAAAAGAGAGGAAGAGAGTGAGAAAAGAAATGGCAGGGAGGTATATTTCAGTTAGTGGTGCAGGCAGCAACTCTTGTAACAAGGCAGACTGTGTCAGCAAAATTAAGACACTTGACTTGGAGATCATTTAAAACCTTTTGGTTCCCATTAACTTGTGGCCAACTTCTATTTTAGTGTCTCGCCCTTCTAGTGAAATGATGCTCTAGCACATGCTGACCTTGTTTAGCTTACAACACAGAAATGTAATGTACTGTAGTCGTGAGTCTTAAAAGGTATCTGCTACAGTGGTCTACACATGCAGCAATACACCTCGCAACACAGAAATGTAATGTAGTCGTGAGTCTAAAACAGGGTCAAACTCATTCCATTCCGAATGGCTGTGATTTTGGGTTTTTCTTTAAATTAAGACCTAGAAATGCAGGTGAGGGGAGTTCCTTAGTAATTAGTGACCTAAATTCTTCAATCAAGTACAAGGGAGGAGTGAAAACCCGCAGACACTCGGCCCTCCGTGGAATGGGTTTGACACGTGGTGTAAAAGGTATACTGCTAGAGTGGTCAACACCTGCAGCAATACACTTCCCATCTACCGTACTTCCTTAGTAACACATCATGATCACAATCCTGAATAACCCTTTATAAATTCTTACAAATGTTTATAAATTATTCTAAATGATTGTAAATGTTTGCACATCTTGTACATGCTGATACATGTTTCTAAATGTTAACAAATAATGAAATAGTATTTATTAATAGTGTATGAATCACTTATACATTCTTATTCATGATAGTTATAGAGTGCTACCACTTCCTTCAGTAGTCTATACAGTGCATTCGTAAAGTATTCAGACCCCTTGACTTTTTCCACATTTTGTTATGTTAGAGCCTTATTCTGAAATGGATTAAATTGTTTTTTTCCCCTCAACAATCTACACACAATACCCTTGTGGTAGACCAGGGGGTTTGGTCAAGACGTTTACACAGATCAGACACGGACAGAATTGTATTAGCTCGGTTTCAAAAGTGTTTATTTAAATAATAAACACAGCGAAAAGGAGACCTTCTCCGGGATACCGTCTTCTGGGCTCCGGGGTCTTGCTGTATCCTGTGGGGAACAAAACCCAGCTCCCTCCATCATCTCTGGTACTGAGCACGACTATACGGGAGTAACCTCTCTTCCCCAGTCCCCACTCCCGTGTGCTGCCCTTCTGGCAACTTTATGGGACTCGTCCAGCTGGTGAGCAATCAGCCCCTTGATTACTCACCAACCACAATCAGCCCCAATTAGTCCTGGCCGGGGAGCACGTCAAGACCTGGCACGTCCAGCAGAGGGGGCCATCGCCGCGTGATGTCGCCCCCCTCTGTCACCAGGCATCAACGAGTCTCCCCCTGGTGGCTAACCTGCTGTATGCCACACCCCATAATGACAAAGCAAAAATAGGTTTTAAGAAATGTTGGCACATTTCTTCACAAAACAGAAATATCACATTTACATAAGTATTCAGACCCTTAACTCAGTACTATGTTGAAGCACCTTTGACAGCGATTACAGCCTCGAGTCTTCTTGGGTATGACGCTACAAGCTTGGCACACCTGTATTTTGGGGAGTTTCTCCAATTCTTCTCTGCAGTTCCTCTCAAGCTCTGTCCGGTTGGATGCACAGTTATTTTCAGGTCTCTCCAGAGATGTTCGATCGGGTTCAAGTCCGGGCTCTGGCTGGGCCACTCAAGGGCATTCAGGTAGCTTAGTGGTTAAGAGCGTTGTGCCAGTAACCGAAAGGTCGCTGGTTCTAATCCCCAAGCCGACTAGGTGAAAAATCTGTCGATGTGCCCTTGAGCAAGGCACTTAACCCTAATTGCTCCTGTAAGTCGCTCTGGATAAGAGCGTCTGCTAAATGACTTAAATGTAAAATGTTGTCCCGAAGCCACTCCTGCGTTGTCTTGGCTGTGTGCTTAGGGTCGTTGTCCTGTTGGAAGGTGAACCTTCACCCCAGTCTGAGGTCCTAAGCGCTCTGGAGCAGGTTTTCATCAAGGATCTCTCTGTACTTTGCTCCGTTCATCTTTCCCTCAATCCTGACTAGTCTCCCAGTCCCTGCCGGTGAAAAATATCCCCACAGCATGAAGATTCCACCACCATGCTTCACCGTAGGGAGGGTGCCAAGTTTCCTCCAGACGTGACGCTTGGCATTCAGGCCAAAGAGTTCAATCTTGGTTTCATCAGACCAGAGAATCTTGTTTCTCATGGTCTGAGAGTCCTTTAGGTGCCTTTTGGCAAACTCCAAGCGGGCTGTCATGGTATTTTACTGAGGAGTGGCTTCCGTCTGTAAAGGCCTGATTGGTAGAGTGCTGCAGAGATGGTTGTCCTTCTGGAAGGTTCTCCTATCTCCACAGAGGAACTCTGGAGCTCTGTCAGAGTGACCATCGGGTTCTTGGTCACCTCCCTGACCAAGACCCTTCTCCCCCGATTGCTCAGTTTGGCCGGGCGGCCAGCTCTACGAAGAGTCTTGGTGGTTCCAAACTTCTTCCATTTAAGAATGATGGAGGTCACTTGTGTTCTTGGGGACCTTCAACGCTGCAGACATTTTCTAGTACCCTTCCCAGATCTGAGCCTCAACTCAATCCTGTCTCGGAGCTCTACGGACAATTCCTTCGACCTCATGGCTTGGTTTTTGCTCTGACATGCACTGTGAACTGTGGGACCTTATATAGACAGGTGTGTGCCTTTCCATATCATGTCCAATCAATTGAATTTACCACAGGTGGACTCCAATCAAGTTGTAGAAACATCAAGGATGATCAATGAGCTCATTTTCGAGTCTCATAGCAAAGGGTCTGAATACTTAAGTAAATAAGGTATTTCAGTTTTTTTTCACTTTGTCATTATGGGGTATTGTGTGTAGATTGATGAGGAAAAACATTTATTTAATCCATTTTAGAATAAGGCTGTAACGTAACAAAATGTGGGAAAAGTCAAGGGGTAGCTGCAACAATGGTGCACCATCGCTCAATACACGTCAACACTTTTTTGTTAAATCATATTAAATGATAAATGTTAAAAACTAAAGTGAGCATGGATAATTTTTTATCTTCCACCTAATGTGCTGAAAAGGAAGGGAGATGAGTGCGTATCGGGAATCGTTAACACTGTTCCACTCTATTGGGTGGACCCATTTTTGATAACAGCTAGGCTTCGTCTGATTGGCTTAGAGCCCAGTGTGTAATAGGCTAGCCCACAGAGCAGAACGGTGTGTGACGTCATCGGAGCTGAGAGAGATGAGAGTGTGTGTGTCCCAAATGTCATCCTAGTCCCTTCATAGGGCACTACTTTTTACAAGGGCCCATAGGGATTTGGTCAAAAGTAGTGCACTACATAAGGAATAGGGTGCCATTTGGGACCCAGCTAGAGAGGACAGGGGTTCTGCTTGGCTAGGCAGTGTTATCAATCTATACTCAGCAGAGAAGTAGAGGGGGACAGTGAAAGCCCCATACAGAGACTTATTACTGCACCGTTTAAGGCAAGTACGACAGGGGTACACAAGGATACGTACACCACAAAAACATGCAAACAAACACAAGACTATAATGTACATACACACACAGTCTTGTACAACTAACCTTGTGAGGACACACAATTCAGTCCCATTGAAAATTATATTTTCCCAAACCCCAACCGAAAAAAACCAACCAACCCAAACCTAACCCCTAAAAACAGGGGCGGGGACAACAAAAAGCCCCAGGGGACACACCCCCAAGAAGGGGAAAAAGAGAAACACAACCACACAACCCAAAAAAACAAAAAAAACCACAAAAAAAAAAAAAACAAAAAAAAAAAAAAAAAAAAAAAAAAAAAAAAAAAAAAAAAAAAAAAAAAAAAAAAAAAAAAAAAAAAAAAAAAAAAAAAAAAAAAAAAAAAAACAAAAAAAAAAAAAAAAAAAACCCAAAAAAAACAAAAAAAAAAAAAAAACAAAACAAAAAAAAAAAAAAAAAAAACAAAAAAAACAACCCCAAAAACCTTAAAAAAAAAAAAAAAACCAAAAAAAAAAAAAAACACAAAAAAACAAAAAAAAAAAAAAAAACAAAAAAAAAAAAAAAAACAAAAAACAAAAAAAAACAAACACAAACCAACCTAAAACAACCAAAACCAAAACAAACACACACAAAACACACACACACACACACACACACAACACACACACACACACACACACACACACACACACACACACACACACACACACACACACACACACACACACACACACACACACACACACACACACACACACACACACACACACACACACACACACACACACCCACACACACACACACACACACACACACACACACACACACCACACACACACACACACACACACACACACACACACCACACACACACACACACACACACACACACACACACACACACACACACACACACACACACACACCCACACACACACACACACACACACACACACACACACACACACACACACACACACACACACACACACACACACACACACACACACACACACACACACACACACACACACACACCACACACACACACACACACACACACACACACACACACACACCACACACACACACACACACACACACACACACACACACACACACACACACACACACACACACACACACACACACACCACACACACACACACACACACACACACACACACACACACACACACACACACACACACACACACACACACACACACACACACACACACACACACACACACACACACACACCCTTGTCTGACTACTGTGTATTTTATACTTGTTGTACCAGTCAGCAGTAGGGAGATTGGACTGAACCCTCTCTCTGATGCATCTGAATCAGTCCTCCTCAAGATCCACAATTCATCTGTCCTGCCACCCACAACCACACAGTAAACAATGTGTTCCCCACAATAAGTGCCAAACGTGTGTGTGTGCATGTGTACAGTTTAAGTCGGAAGTTTACATACACTTAGGTTGGAGTCATTAAAACTTGTTTTTCAACACATTTCTTGTTAACAAACTATAGTTTTGGCAAGTCGGTTAGGACATCTACTTTGTGCATGACACAAGTAATTTTTCCAACAATTGTTTACAGACAGATTATTCACTTATAATTCACTGTATCACAATTCCAGTGGGTCAGAAGTTTACATACACTAAGTTGACTGTGCCTTTAAACAGCTTGGAAAATTCCAGAAAATGATGTCATGGCTTTAGAAGCTTCTGATAGGCTAATTGACATAATTTGAGTCAATTGGAAGTGTACCTGTGGATGTATTTCAAGGCCTACCTTCAAACCCAGTGCCTCTTTGCTTGACATCATGGGAAAATCAAAAGAAATCAGCCAAGACCTCAGAAAACAAATTGTAGACCTCCACAAGTCTGGGTGATTCTTGGGAGCAATTTCCAAACGCCTGAAGGTACCACGTTCATCTGTACAAACAATAGTACACAAGTATAAACAACATGGGACCACGCAGCCGTCATACCGCTCAGGAAGGATACGCGTTCTGTCTCCTAGAGATGAACGTACTTTGGTGCGAAAAGTGCAAATCAATCCCAGAACAACAGCAAAGGACCTTGTGAAGATGCTGGAGGAAACAGGTACAAAAGTATCTATATCCACAGTAAAACGAGTCCTTTATCGACATAACCTGAAAGGCCGCTCAGCAAGGAAGAAGCCACTGCTCCAAAACCGCCATAAAAAAGACAGACTACGGTTTGCAACTGCACATGGGGACAAAGATCGTACTTTTTGGAGAAATGTCCTCTGGTCTAATGAAACCAAAATAGAACTGTTTGGCCATAATGACCATCGTTATGTTTGGAGGAAAAAGGGGAACGCTTGCAAGCCGAAGAACACCATCCCAACCATGAAGCACGGGGGTGGCAGCATCAAGCTGTGGGGATGCTTTGCTGCAGGAGGGACTGATGCACTTCACAAAATAGATGGCATCATGAGGAAGGACAATTATGTGGATATATTGAAGCAACATCTCAAGACATCAGTCAGGAAGTTAAAGCTTGGTCGCAAATGGGTCTTCCAAATGGACAATGACCCCAAGCATACTTACAAAGTTGTGGCAAAATGGCTTAAGGACAACAAAATAAAGGTATTGGAGTGGCCATCACAAAGCTCTGACCTCAATCCTATAGAACATTTGTGGGAAGAACTGAAAAAGTGTGTGCAAGCAAGGAGGCCTACAAACCTGACTCAGTTACACCAGCTCTGTCAGGAGGAATGGGCCAAAATTCACCCAACTTATTGTGGGAAGCTTGTGGAAGGCTATCCGAAACGTTTGACCCAAGTTAAACAATTTAAAGGCAATGCTACCAAATACTAATTGAGTGTATGTAAACTTCTGACCCACTGGGAATGTGATGAAAGAACTAAAAGCTGAAATAAATCATTCTCTCTACTATTATTCTGACATTTCACATTCTTAAAATAAAGTGGTGATCCTAACTGACCTAAAACAGGTGATTTTTACTAGGATTAAATGTCAGGAATTGTGAAAAACTGAGTTTAAATGTATTTGGCTAAGGTGTATGTAAACTTCCGACTTCAACTGTATGTGTGCATGACTGTGTGTGTGTGTGTGTGTGTGTGTGTGTGTATATATATTCTTCATTTGTTTAACACTTTTTTGGTTACTACATGATTCCATATGTGTTATTTCATAGTTCTGATGTCTTCACTATTATTCTACAATGTAGAAAGTAGTAAAAAAAAAGAAAAAAAATGAGTAGGTGTGTCCAAACTTTTGACTGGTAGTGTATATATGAGTGTGTGTAACCTACCTGTCGCTTGTCTTCCGGGGCCTTGAGGAACAAGGCGTTAATCACAGCGATGGTATATGTCTGAATGTCCTGATCAGTCCTGTCATTAGATGGATAACAACACAGAACCATGCTGTTCAGCCATGTCAGTACTAATCACACTGGACATGACCGATCACACACTACAGGTACACTGTTGGATGCTTCCCAAATGGCACCCTATTCCCTACATAGTACACTACTTTTGACCAGAGTTCTATGGGCCATGGTCAAAAGCAGTCCACTATATTGGGAATAGGGGGCCATTTGGGACGCATCCACTGTAGTTTTCTGCCATGTTTCTCAAATGGGTTACTTCCCTGGTCTTTCTGTTAAGAGTACTTCCCAATCATGGACACTGGAGAGTTTACATTCATTAAATCAATAGAGATATAACATAGATGAAACAGTTACCCCACTACTGGTCTAGGGCCAGGGGCCATCTGTATCAAGTGTCTAAGAGTAGGAGTGCTGATCTAGGATCAGTTTTGTCTTTTAGATCATAAGGAAAAAGGTTATATGGACAGGTGGGGACCTGATACTAGTTCAGCACTCCTACTCTGAGACACTTGATAAGGCCCCAAATCTATTAAGTAAAATCTTGCTATAGGTTAAGGAGCGTTTTGCGGTAATCTGATCTTAGATCTGCGGTTAGGGACAACGTATATCTCTGGTATATAACATAATGACCGTGCGGCTCTCTCTCACCCCTGCAGATGGGGTATAAGCTGTCCGATGGTGATCTCTTGCGCCACCTTCTGGTAGAGGTCCTGACTGTTGAGCACCATGGACTCCAGGATGGCCAGGGACCGCTGCAGCACAGCCATGTCCATGGCCGACTTGCTCACGTAACCTGCAATCTGCAACAGATAGAGGTGGTTTAACTGAATTCAAGACATAGACCGCCTGAATAAAACCATAGCTATTATTATGCAGAGGTTATAGGAGCTCTACCTCTTAAATATTTATAGAACGTTTACAAACACAATACAAAATCCTCCTTGTAGCCGCAATGTCTAAACCATCTGTTAGATGTCTCAAGGACAGTTTTCACGGACGTGTTAAAAAAAACAGTTAAACCAGTTTACAATGTTATAAACAGTTTGTGAGGGGACGGGCACCTTCTTGATGAAGGCAACAGAGAAGGTATCCCAGGAGACGATGCCGTGGTCCATGAGCTCCACGAACGCAGTCAGCGTGAATGACAATAAGTCGCCGAAACTGGAACACAACAACAACAGCCAATAGAAACATCTCTGCCACTGGCTCCAACACACACGTACAGCGACAGCCGCAAAGCAGCTAAAAGCCTTGGTCTCAGGGAGGGAGGGAGGAGGGGGGGGGGGGAGAGGAAAGGAGAGAGAAGCCACAGCCAGGTATGCTGAGTGCACAGAAAGGTGAGGAGGTGGACTGCGGCACCTGATGGGGCAGACAGATGACTCAGTCCTTCAGGAACAACAGGGGGCGCCAGACAGCCAGCAAGAGCCAGAAAGCGCAGGGTAGCAGAGCCACGGAGCACTCATTCATTAATAATTCCCATGCAGTTACATTGATGTTAGTAGTGACAGTAGGGCCGAGCGAGGCTATTTCCTGGAAGATAATTATACAATGATCTGAATGCAACGTGTTTCAATCTGTTATGTTCAATCACTCCAGTTCACAGGAATATGAATAGCCTACATAAATCTCACAGAAATATACAATGACAGGAAGAAGATTAGGTCAAATAAATGCTTTTTGACATTTTCTGAATTACGTAACTGTGATTACAGTCATGTCATAAACCTGAAATATAACTCAGTGACCTACACCTCTTGATATGATGTGGGAAATATTGTAAAATAAAACCGATTTTATTGGCCAATAGTCTCCAATGCATGACTTGAAAGTAATCAATTCAATGTTCAAAGAAAACTAAACACGTTATATGTAACTTCATATGTACAAACACATGTAAATCAACACATACAATTTTTAAAAAATTACTTCGGCATAAAAAATTTACAGAAATATGTTAATACATTCTAACAAAGATTTGGTTTATAAGACACTGGCAGGAACAGGCCCCTCACAGGCTTGGCAACAACTAATTAACACATTGGGTTAATAACAGAACAGACAACATCATGGCTCACATCTCAGACACATCCATTCGTAATAATTCATTAGTAGTACCCAGCCCACGGTTAGACTAGGGTGAGTAAGAGTTTTCATATGACAGTGGGCAGTTACGTGATGTGTGAAATTATCATGTTAATATAAGTTCATGATTCAACTAAAATGGTTATACTCCAATATACTCTTAAAAAAGTTGACCCATTTAAAAAGATGCAAGAATGACTTAAGAGTGTTGCCTTACAGAATGATGTCTCTACAGGGTGAGTATGTATGGCGTTGAGGACAGTGAACTGCAGAATATTAATGGAGTGTAAAGGACTGCCATGAGACATCCATGACAACCCACCACCATCCAACGTTAAAGTTCCCAACACCTGGGGTGTATTAATTAGTGCAAAACGTTTCTCTAATCGGACAAGTTCAGGTAGGTCCCTCCCTGTTTCAGCCCGTTTAGTTTCTGTTTGGTTACTAGTGAATACACCCCTGAACACCATTGTTATACGTTTAGGAGGTGTACCAAGAATCCTAGAAGAAAAATCTCTGAATTTGGACTGTGGGTGTCTTTATGGATCGTTGTCATGGTGCTCTTCAAAACAACATCCCACATGAAACAAGAGACTGTGGCTTTAGTTCCCTTTGAACCTCAAATTGCACAATAAGAGAAGAATGGTGTTTCGGTTACATGGAACACAGAGGATGCGCCCCAAATGGCACCCTATTCCCTAAAAGTAGTGCAGTATATAGGGAATAGGGTGCCATTTGGGACGTAGGCAGAGATAAACAAAAAGACACAAGTTTGATTTGAAAATGAAAGCCAGAGATGGCGACAGCAGCCATGTTGTTTCCCATTAGTTTAATAGAAACACCAGGGCTTGAGTTTTAACCATGCAGACTCAGTTGCCGGGTAGATTAAAAGGAAGAGTCCAAAGCCAGCCAGGGTAGTTATCTGACTGGGGAGGGGAAGGGAGGGCTTACCATGGCTTCATTATCTTCTGTAGTTTCTGATAGCGTCTGCAAAGATTTAAGAAACTTTGGTGTCAGAGAGAACACAATGACCACGTAAGAAGAGGCTCAAGTCATAGTAGAGAGAGGTTACGGTTAGACAATAGAACACATTGCCCAGGTGTGTGTGTGTGTGTGTGTGTGTGTGTGTGTGTGTGTGTGTGCGTGTGTGTGTGTGTGTGTGAGTGTGAGTGTGTGTGTGTGAGAGTTAGACAATAGAACACATTGCCCAGGTGTGTGTGTGTGTGTGTGTGTGTGTGTGTGTGTGTGTGTGTGTGTGTGTGTGTGTGTGTGTGTGTGTGAGTGTGAGTGTGAGTGTGTGAGAGTTAGACAATAGAACACATTGCCCAGGTGTGTGTGTGTGTGTGTGTGTGTGTGTGTGTGTGTGTGTGTGTGTGTGTGTGTGTGTGTGTGTGTGTGTGAGTGTGAGTGTGTGTGTGTGAGAGTTAGACAATAGAACACATTGACCAGGTGGGATCGATCCATCTCAGAGTAGGAGTGCTGATTTCTGATCAGTTTAGAGACTTTTAGATCACAACGAATAAGGTCACATGGACAGGGAAGACCTGATCCTAGATCAGCAGTCGTACTCTGAGATGCTCCATACATACAGAGGCCAGAGAGAGCCTGGATCAGAGGCTAACACATGGACAGGATGGAGATGGACTTGAACAGAGCTTCACAGAGACAACTCAAAATATAGAAGAATCACAACACAAGGCTGACCTGCTACAGTAACGTAACACAATACAGGGAACAACACAAACCATTTGGTCAAACATAATAACATGGACACCAGGGATTAGTAGTAATCTACTATCGCCCCGTAGCACTCACCTCTGTCATCATGAAGTGCTTTGAGAGACTAGTCAAGGATCATATCACCTCTACCTTACCTGTCACCCTAGACCCACTTCAATTTGCTTACCGCCCCAATAGATCCACAGACGATGCAATCGCCATCACACTGCCTTATCCCATCTAGACAAGAGGAATACCTATGTAAGAATGCTGTTCATTGACTATAGCTCAGCATTCAACACCATAGTACCCTCCAAGCTCATCATTAAGCTCGAGGCCCTGGGTCTGAACCCCGCCCTGTGCAACTGGGTCCTGGACTTCCTGATGGGCCGCCCCCAGGTGGTGAAGGTAGGAAACAACATCTCCACTTCGCTGATCCTCAACACTGGAGCCCCACAAGGGTGCGTGCTCAGCCCCCTCCTGTACTCCCTGTTCACCCATGACTGCATGGCCAAGCATGCCTCCAACTCAATCATCAAGTTTGCAGACGACACAACAGTAGTAGGCTTGATTACCAACAATGACAAGACCGCCTACAGGGAGGAGGTGAGGGCTCTGGGAGTGTGGTGCCAGGAAAATAACCTCTCACTCAACGTCAACAAAACAAAGGAGATGATCGTGGACTTCAGGAAACAGCAGAGGGTGCACACCCCTATCCACATCGACGGGATCGCAGTGGAGAAGGTGGAAAGCTTCAAGTTCCTTAGCGTACACATCACCGACAAACTGAAATGGTCCACCCACGCAGACAGTGTGGTGAAGAAGGCACAACAGAGCCTCTTCAACCTCAGGAGGCTGAAGAAATTCGGCTTGGCACCTAAAACCCTCACAAACTTCTACAGATGCACAATTGAGAGCATCCTGTTGGGCTGTATCACCGCCTGGTACGGCAACTGCACCGCCCGCAACCGCAGGGCTCTCCAGAGGGTGGTGCGGTCTGCCGAACGCATTACCGGGGGCAAACTACCCGTCCTCCAAGAAACATACAGCACCCGATGTCACAGGAAGGCCAAAAAGATAATTAAGGACATCAACCACCCGAGCCACTGCCTGTTCAACCCGCTATCATCCAGAAGGCGAGGTCAGTACAGGTGCATCAAAGCTGGGACCGAGAGAATGAAAAACAGCTTCTATCTCAAGGCCATCAGATTGTTCAATAGCCATCACTAGCACATTAGAGGCTGCTGCTGCCTATTGAAATCACTGGCCACTTTAAGAAATGGAACACTAGTCACTTTAATAATGTTTACATATCTTGCACTACTCATCTCATATGTATATACTGCATTCTATTCTATAATATTCTACTGTATCTTAGTCCATGCCGCTCTGTCATTGCTTGTCCATATATGTATATATTCTTAAATTCCATTCCATACTAGTTTTGTGTGTATTGGGTATATGTTGTGAAATTGTTAGATATTACTTGTTAGATATTACTGCACTGTCGGAGCTAGAAGCACAAGCATTTCACTACACCGCTATAACATCTGCTAAACACGTGTATGTGACAAATACAATTTGATTTGATTACTATTATGCTCTGATTAACACAGGGGAATGTATGAAGATGAGGATATTTGACCAAATAAACACACTCCGATCAAATCACAATTGGTTAGGAGCCAATTGATGACAGACTGTGAGCACAAAGCATGCAAAATCAGAAGTACTGTTTAGGAAGCAGCTGGAACCTTACCCTGGCAGAGAGACAGACAGCTCTACATTACAGGCTTTGCTTGAGGAGATGACAGACGGACAATAATTGCCAATATTTCATTTCACAACAAGATTTAACAAGACGGAAATCTATTTTGAGACAAACTTGGATCAGGCAAACTCAGTAAATCTCAAGCTAGATCTTAATACCGTCTTGTTTTGTGACAGAACATTAAGTCGGTCACAAAATTAACATCATTCCCCAGGGATCCAAAATGTTTGCCAGTTGACGTTGCACTGTAAATTCTCAGCAGTTCTGGAACCTGTATGTTATGTTACTAAACCAATAGGGTGTGCTAAACTTCTTAAATTTCCTGATACAGCAGCCCACATTAAAACAGCATAAAGTAATCTCCAGACTGGGATATTAGAAAGTACTGCTCCCTGGTGTCTCTTTTTCCTAAGCCTGTGAATTATCATATAACGCTAGTCCGTCGGCAGGAATGTAGATGAGGATTGTAGAGTTATAAACACAGACACACACGCCTGCACTTTCAAACTCTAGGGCTAAGGACTGTTGACGCATGAGTAATCTACATAAAAACATATTTAAAGAAAGATGCCTGAGGTGGCAGGATGCATCATTGGGGAATTAAGTGGGCAGCACTGCTTATAGGAGGACAGAGGAGGAGGGAACATGATTAATAGGGAATGAATATGCATTAATAACATGTAAATACAGATCACTTGGGACACGCATACTGAATGTAACTAGGGTGGGCCTTCACCTCCCCTGTACAATAATGGATGATACTCTACTAGGTCCTATTGTAGAGGACAGATACACTAACAGAATGGAAGGTACTAGTTCCTACTGTAGAGGACAGATATACTAACAGAATGGAAGGTACTAGTTCCTACTGTAGAGGACAGCTACACTAACAGAATGGAAGGTACTAGTTCCTACTGTAGAGGACAGATACACTAACAGAATGGAAGGTACTAGTTCCTACTGTAGAGGACAGATACACTAACAGAATGGAAGGTACTAGGTCCTATTGTAGAGGACAGATACACTAACAGAATGGAAGGTACTAGTTCCTACTGTAGAGGACAGATATACTAACAGAATGGAAGGTACTAGTTCCTACTGTAGAGGACAGATACACTAACAGAATGGAAGGTACTAGTTCCTACTGTAGAGGACAGCTACACTAACAGAATGGAAGGTACTAGTTCCTACTGTAGAGGACAGATACACTAACAGAATGGAAGGTACTAGTTCCTACTGTAGAGGACAGATACACTAACAGAATGGAAGGTACTAGGTCCTATTGTAGAGGACAGATACACTAACAGAATGGAAGGTACTAGTTCCTACTGTAGAGGACAGATATACTAACAGAATGGAAGGTACTAGTTCCTACTGTAGAGGACAGATACACTAACAGAATGGAAGGTACTAGTTCCTACTGTAGAGGACAGATACACTAACAGAATGGAAGGTACTAGTTCCTACTGTAGAGGACAGATACACTAACAGAATGGAAGGTACTAGTTCCTACTGTAGAGGACAGATACACTAACAGAATGGAAGGTACTAGTTCCTACTGTAGAGGACAGATACACTAACAGAATGGAAGGTACTAGTTCCTACTGTAGAGGACAGATACACTAACAGAATGGAAGGTACTAGTTCCTACTGTAGAGGACAGATACACTAACAGAATGGAAGGTACTAGTTCCTACTGTAGAGGACAGATACACTAACAGAATGGAAGGTACTAGTTCCTACTGTAGAGGACAGATACACTAACAGAATGGAAGGTACTAGTTCCTACTGTAGAGGACAGATACACTAACAGAATGGAAGGTACTAGTTCCTACTGTAGAGGACAGATACACTAACAGTAATTCCAAGTGGCAGAGAGCGAGTGTGGTCCATCAGGGCTGACCTTGCATGGTGCAGCTAACTAGGAAGTCTCTCTGGTCTGGGGGAAGCATAATGAGGAGGCCATGCAGCAGAACAGTGTGTATGTGTGTGTGTGTGTGTGTGTGTGTGTGTGTGTGTGTGTGAGTGTGTGTGAGTGAGTGTGTGTTTCAGACGGCTGATGCCCTGTAAACGCTGTGTCCAGAGCCCTCGGGCTAGCCTTCCATGAGAGGCTGCTGGGAATGACAAGCATTCGTTTTGGATTCAGGGCCGTTCATTACAGTACAGTGCAAACAGCTCTGGGTGACTGGAGACTGCTGACTGTGCGATTGAATGGGGGGTGTAATTGTGTGAGAAAGATAGGGTGTGTCTGTGTGTGTGTGTGTGTGTGTACACGCAAATATGTGCATCTTGCCTCCACTGTGAGCGAGTCTCCTATGTGCGTTTTGACTCCGTAATCGATCTACACTCACACAGCATGACCCTGGCTCCCCTCTCCCTTCCTGCCTCTCAACGCTGCCGCCCTCCCCTCCTCCCTCTCTCTCACCCCTGCCTCACCTCCTGCCCCCCATGGGGTTCCAGTCAACATCACGGCTGAGAAACGCCAACTCAGCAAAACGCCACTGCCTGTCCTCGCCGTAACCTTCAGCTGAGACAGAGAGAGCGTCTATTTCCCAAATGACACCCTATTCCCTACATAGTGCAGTACTTTGCCCTGAGCCGGATGGGCCCTGGTCAAAAGTAGAGCACTAGGGAATAGGGTGCCATTTGGGACATAGCCAGCCTACCAGGCCCAAAGCCCAGCGAGACAGGCAGAGACAGTCAGAGAGAGACCACTGCTTGGGGATGGGGTGGGGCCACCAGGGGTTTGGTTGGGATGGGGTGGGAGGGTAGAATTGTAAAAAAATAAATGCATTGTGATTCTCATTGACTCAATATAAACAATTGTTCACAAAAAAGAGAACACTGCTGGGTCAGGACCGGATCTGTCTGGATGATTTGGAGCTGATGATCGGTTGTTGTAAGCCAGAGTGTCTGAAAGTGTAAAGCTCAGAGAAACATTGCAGCTGTTCATCAGTAAAAGTGCCTTGTCTAAAGCTGTGTGCAGCTCTCAGAGAAAGCAAAGTTGGCACTATGATAGTATCAGTATCATGCGACATGTGGACACAAGATTCTTTGTATTACGATAGTTTATCAGTTAGTCAATGGGGTCAAATATATTCAGGTGCTGCACAGGTGGTGCACTGGTACAGACCACGTCACCCCGTGGTACTAAATGCTCCACAGAGCACCTCAGAGCCCATCCACTTCATAGACTCTACATTAGAAAGGCAGATAGGAGACGAGAATATGTGACTCGATGGCTTTTACTTGGGGCAAGTCAGCAAACTGTAATTTACAGAAGAGTATACTAAGAGTAAGAGGTGATCAGAGTAGAGCAGTAAGAGGTGATCAGAGAAGAGCTTGACAAGTTCCTTTCCTGAGGATGGCTCACCCCTCACAGTTCTGGGTGACTTTAACCTCCCTACGTCTGCCTTTGACTCATTTCTCTCTGCCTCCTTCTTTCCACTCCTTTCCTCTTTTGACCTCACCCTCTCACCGTCCCCCCCTACTCACAAGGCAGGCAATACGCTTGACCTCATCTTTACTAGATGCTGTTCTTCTACTAATCTCACTGCAACTCCCCTCCAAGTCTTCGACCACTACTTTGTATCCTTTTCTCTCTCGCTCTCCTCCAACACTACTCACTCTGCCCCTACTCAGATGGTAATGTGCCGTCACAACCTTTGCTCTTGCTCTCCCGCTACTCTCTCCTCTTCCATCCTATCATCTCTTCCCTCTGCTAAATCCTTCTCCCTCTGATCTCCTGATTCTGCCTCCTCAACCCTCCTCTCCTCCCTTTCTGCATCTTTTGACTCTCTATGTCCCCTATCCTCCCGGCCGGCTCGGTCCTCCCCTCCTGCTCCGTGGCTTGACGACTCATTGCGAGCTCACAGAACAGGGCTCCGGGCAGCTGAGCGGAAATGGAGGAAATCTAGACTCCCTGCGGACCGGTCATCTTTTCAGTCCCTCCTCTCTACATTCTCTTCCTCTGTTTCCGCTGCTAAAGCCACTTTCTACCACTCTACATTTCAAGCCTCTGCCTCTAACCTTAGGAAGCTCTTTGCCACCTTCTCCTCCCTGCTGAATCCTCCTCCTCCTCCCCCTCCCTTCTCCCTCTTTGTGGATGACTTCGTCAACCATTTTGAAAAGAAGGCTGACGACATCCGATCCTCATTTATTAAGTCAAATGACACTGCTGGTCCTGCTCACACTGCCCTACCCTATGCTTTGACTTCTTTCTCCCCTCTCTCTCCAGATGAAATCTTGCGACTTGTGACGGCCGGCCGCCCAACAACCTGCCCGCTTGACCCTATCCCCTACTCTCTTCTCCAGACCATTTCCGGAGACCTTCTCCCTTACCTCACCTCGCTCATCAACTCACCGCTGGCCATGTCCCCTCCGTCTTCAAGAAAGAGCGAGAGTTGCACCCGTCCTCAAAAAACCTACACTCGATCCCTCCGATGTCAACAACTACAGACCAGTATCCCTTCTTTCTTTTCTCTCCAAAACTCTTGAGCGTGCCGTCTCTAGCCAACTCTCCTGCTATCTCTCTCAGAATGACCTTCTTGATCCAAACCAGTCAGGTTTCAAAACTGGTCATTCAACTGAGACTGCTCTTCTCGGTGTCATGGAGGCTCTCCGCACTGCTAAAGCTAACTCTCTCTCCTCTGCTCTTATCCTTCTAGACCTATCCGCTGCCTTTGATACTGTGATCCTCCTCTCCACCCTCTCCGAGTTGGGCATCTCTGGCGCTGCTCACTCTTGGATTGCGTCCTACCTGACAGGTCGCTCCTACAAAGTGGCGTGGCGAGAATCTGTCTCCGCACCACGTGCTCTCACCACTGGTGTCCCCCAGGGCTCAGTTCTAGGCCCTCTCCTATTCTCTCTATACACCAAGTCACTTGGCTCTGTCATATCCTCACATGGTCTCTCCTATCATTGCTACGCAGACGACACACAATTCATTTTCTCCTTTCCCCCTTCTGATAACCAGGTGGCGAATCGCATCTCTGCATGTCTGGCAGACATATCAGTGTGGATGTCGGATCACCACCTCAAGCTGAACCTCGGCAAGACGGAGCTGCTCTTCCTCCCGGGGAAGGACTGCCCACTCCGTGATCTCGCCATCACGGTTGACAACTACATTGTGTCCTCCTCCCAGAGTGCAAAGAACCTTGGCGTGAACTTGGACAACACCCTGTCGTTCTCCGCTAACATCAAAGCAGTGACCCGATCCTGCAGGTTCATGCACTACAACATTCGCAGAGTACGACCCTACCTTACACAGAAAGCGGCACAGGTCCTAATCCAGGCACTTGTCATCTCCCGTCTGGATTACTGCAACTCGCTGTTGGCTGGGCTCCCTGCCTGTGCCATTAAACCCCTACAATTTATCCAGAACGCTGCAGCCCGTCTGGTGTTCGACCTTCCCAAGTTCTCTCATGTCACCCCCCTCCTCCGCACACTCCACTGGCTTCCAGTTGAGGCTCGCATCTACTACAAGACCATGGTGCTTGCCTACGGAGCTGTGAGGGGAACGGCACCTCTTTACCTTCAGGCTCTGATCAGACCCTACACCCAAACGAGGGCACTACGTTCATCCACCTCTGGCCTGCTAGCTCCCCTACCTCTACGGAAGCCCAGTTCCCGCTCAGCCCAGTCAACGCTATTTGCTGCTCTGGCACCCCAATGGTGGAACAAGCTCCCCCACGACGCCAGGACAGCGGGAGTCACTGACCTCCTTCCGGAGACACTTAAAACCCTACCTGTAGTGTAAAGTAATCCTTCTACCCCTCCCCCACCCCCCAATAAAAATAAATAAATAAAAAGTGGTTGTCCCACTGGCTATCATAAGTTGAATGCACCAATTTGTATGTCGCTCTGGATAAGAGCGTCTGCTAAATGATGTAAATGTAAATGTAAGAGAAGTAAGAGGTGATCAGATCAGAGTAGAGAAGTAAGAGGTGATCAGAGTAGAGAAGTAAGAGGTGGAGAAAGGAGGACAGGAGAAGACAATGTAGGAGAGTAGAGAAGATGGGAGGAGAGAAAGAGTACGTACTCTGTGCCGCTCTCCACCATCTGTGTGAGCAGTGAGATGCCATCCAGGTTGATAAACTCCTGGGCGAAGGTGATGTCTCTGGAAGAGTTGGCCAGGTCCTTCAGGGCCTCCAGCTTGGCATCCATACTAGATGACTGGATCCTCTCGTGAAGTTGGGCCGCCATCTGAGACTGGAGAAGAGAGGGCAGTGACAGGGTTAAACACTGAACATATACATATGTCGCTGTCGGAAACTCCAGGACCAAGAACACGTATTCAAAATAGCTTTAGAATTTGTGTATTTAGAACTGTATGTTCCTTAATGGTAAAATATGGCAGTTTCTTTTTTTTTCTTTTTTTTTTGCGATACAAGGTTTTCTTCAGACCGTGATGAATAGAGGAGTAATAGCTTGGCGTCTATAGTGGACGACTGGATCTGCTCACAGAGTTGAGCAGTTGTCTGAGACTGGAGTTAAAAGGAGAGAGAACAGTTGGCAGGCAGAGCTGGCTCGCAAGAGAAGACAGGCTATGTGCACACTGCCCACAAAATGAGGTGGAAACTGAGCTGCACGTCCTAACCTCCTGCCAAATGTATGACCATATTAGAGACATATATTTCCCTCAGATTACACAGACCCACAAAGAATTCGAAAACAAACCCAATTTTGATAAACTCCCATATTATTTGGGTGAAATACCAGTGTGCAATCACAGCAGCAAGATTTGTGACCTGTTGCCACAAGAAAAGGGCAACCAGTGAAGAACAAACACCATTGTAAATACAACCCATATTTATGTTTATTTATTTGCACATAATATGACATTTGAAATGTCTTTATTCTTTTGGAACTTTTGTGAGTGTAATGTTTACTGTTAATTGTTTGATTATTTATTTCACTTTTGTTTATTGTCTATTTCACTTGCTTTGGCAATGTAAACATATGTTTCCCATGCCAATAAAGCCCTTCAATTGGAATTGGAAAGAAAGAAAGAGAGAAAGAAATAAAGAAAGAAAGAGAGAGAGAAAGAAAGAGAGATATGCAGTCAACATACACAGAACAAATGGAGTTCTTGACTTAACAGGCTTGAAGTTCTGGTAAAGACAAGTGTCATTTCTTACATTATGGATGGAGCTGATAGTACGACATGTGTAAGCTAAGTCAGGGCTTTACAGCCATGTCTTCAGCGTGGACTGTTATTGGCTTCAAGGGATTAGCCAGGCCATAACAAGTATGCAGACAAGGTGAAAAAAGTGTTATCTACAGTGGGGAGAACAAGTATTTGATACACTGCCGATTTTGCAGGTTTTCCTACTTACAAAGCATGTAGAGGTCTGTAATTTTTTATCATAGGTACACTTCAACTGTGAGAGACGGAATCTAAAACAAAAATCCAGAAAATCACATTGTATGATTTTTAAGAAATTAATTTGCATTTTATTGCATGACATAAGTATTTGATCACCTACCAACCAGTAAGAATTCCGGCTCTCACAGACCTGTTAGTTTTTCCTTTAATAAGCCCTCCTGTTCTCCACTCATTACCTGTATTAACTGCACCTGTTTGAACTCGTTACCTGTATAAAAGACACCTGTCCACACACTCAATCAAACAGACTCCAACCTCTCCACAATGGCCAAGACCAGAGAGCTGTGTAAGGACATCAGAGATAAAATTGTAGACCTGCACAAGGCTGGGATGGGCTACAGGACAATAGGCAAGCAGCTTGGTGAGAAGGCAACAACTGTTGGCGCAATTATTAGAAAATGGAAGAAGTTCAAGATGATGGTCAATCACCCTCGGTCTGGGGCTCCATGCAAGATCTCACCTCAATGATCATGAGGAAGGTGAGAGATCAGCCCAGAACTACACTGCAGGACCTGGTCAATGACCTGAAGAGAGCTGGGACCACAGTCTCAAAGAAAACCATTAGTAACACACTACGCCGTCATGGATTAAAATCCTGCAGCGCACGCAAGGTCCCCCTGCTCAAGCCAGCGCATGTCCAGGCCCGTCTGAAGTTTGCCAATGACCATCTGGATGATCCAGAGGAGGAATGGGAGAAGGTCATGTGGTCTGATGAGACAAAAATAGAGCTTTTTGGTCTAAACTCCACTCGCTGTGTTTGGAGGAAGAAGAAGGATGAGTACAACCCCAATAACACCATCCCAACCGTGAAGCATGGAGGTGGAAACATCATTCTTTGGGGATGCTTTTCTGCAAAGGGGACAGGACGACTGCACCGTATTGAGGGGAGGATGGATGGGGCCATGTATCGCGAGATCTTGGCCAACAACCTCCTTCCCTCAGTAAGAGCATTGAAGATGGTTCGTGGCTGGTTCTTCCAGCATGACAACGACCCGAAACACACAGCCAGGGCAACTAAGGAGTGGCTCCGTAAGAAGCATCTCAAGGTCCTGGAGTGGCCAGTCTCCAGACCTGAACCCAATAGAAAATCTTTGGAGGGAGCTGAAAGTCCGTATTGCCCAGCGACAGCCCCGAAACCTGAAGGATCTGGAGAAGGTCTGTATGGAGGAGTGGGCCAAAATCCCTGCTGCAGTGTGTGCAAACCTGGTCAAGACCTACAGGAAACGTATGATCTCTAATTGCAAACAAAGGTTTCTGTACTAAATATTAAGTTCTGCATTTCTGATGTATCAAATACTTATGTCATGCAATAAAATGCAAATTAATTACTTAAAAATCATACAATGTGATTTTCTGGATTTTTGTTTTAGATTCCGTCTCTCACAGTTGAAGTGTACCTATGATAAAAATTACAGACCTCTACCTCTGCTTTGTAAGTAGGAAAACCTGCAAAATCGGCAGTGTATCAAATACTTGTTCTCCCCACTGTATCTAACCCTCTGGATGGGCCTGTCTCGAGTGAATTTCACCCCAACAGCAGCCACTATTCCAGGTTTTGGAAGAATAACCTCTCACCCTCGCTATCTATCCGAGGGATTAGAAGAAGAAGAAGAAGAAGAAGACAGGAGGAAGGAGGGGACAGGAGAGATGAAGATGTCCTGATGGGGATGACAGACACTCTGTCACAATGCTCAGTTTCTAACACAATCCTCATGTTACAAACAAGAAGGAATGATGGCTTAATGGTTGTGTGTTGAATAAGTAGTACATCACTCAACTTAACCCTAAAATGTCTCTTTCCACTTAACCCTGACATTCTCCTATACTCTGAAAGGTTTCAGTTTACTTTACTATGGAATGTGACGTTCAACTTCACTTTTAAATGGAGAAAAATGTAAAAATATAAAAAGGAGATTCAGCCTTTTAACATGAAACTATTGGAGCTCCATGACCAAAGACTCCCTTCCTCTTTCAGTATGTTTTAGGACAAACTTAATGAATACATAACCCAAACTTACAGGAGATGTTGTCAGTCGCAGTATAGAACCATTCTTTATGTCATTGCGATTCTGCGGAGAAAGGAGAGGGACAACTTAGAGGTGTGATGTCAAACATTAAAATGCTGAAGTGTATTATTAAAATCAACATGCATATCATTGTTTAGTCCAATATGACAAAGGTAACAAGAAAGTAGAGGCCAACCTTTTCTGTGATGTAGAAATTAGTGGAATCAGCATTTTGCAGAGCAAAGTTTTCGTGGTTCCCCAAAGACCATCTGAAGAAGAAAATGTAAAACATTAAAACGCATGAGCTTTAAATTGAAAGAACACTCAGAGAGAGACAGAGAGAGAGACAGAGAGACAGAGAAAGACAGAGAGAGAGAGAGAGAGAGAGAGACAGAGAGACAGAGAAAGACAGAGAGAGAGAGAGAGAGAGAGAGACAGAGAGAGAGAGACAGAGAAAGACAGAGAGAGAGAGAGAGAGAGAGAGAGAGAGACAGAGAGAGATTTTCTTACCCTTCGCACACCTCTTTGATAATGGCTGAGAGGGGCTTTTTCTGAGAAAATAAGAAATAGTTCATTGTCATTAGAAAATGCAATATCCTTTAAGTACAGCTACGTCAATTATAGTGTATAACTATGAAGTCCCTCTCCAGACAGAGGGGACAAAGGGAGGGGGTGTGTTGTGGGAGGAGTTGTATGTTTTAGTGACATCCAGTATTAACTTTAGTGTAAACACGCATGGAAACACACGCACGCAACCTTAGCAGCAAAAAAGTGGGCGACATGTCCGTTGGCACCCCAGCCCCAGCTCTCTTCTCCCCATATCCCCCTCTACCCCCAGGTCAAAGGCTTACCCAGGCTACAAGCATCCCTCCCTCCCAGCTGCTCCAGCCCCTCTGAGCTACAGTAGCTAGCATTATTGCATTAGCATGTGCAGTACTTAGATCAATTCTCTGACGCTAACAAGTAAATGTTTGGGTAGCGGCCCGGGAGGCACAGCAGCAGAGTTCTCGAGAGAAATAAAGACAACTGTGGTGCTGCATGATGGAGTGACGCAGCAGTTCTCTCTGAAGAGGCTCTTTAGATTTATGCAGAGCTAGTCTCAATGGGCTCCAGAGCACTGAGCGGAGCTGCTTTAACACATTAATAGAGTGACTCAGTCTGCAATGGAGGCAGACAGGCATATGCTGCTAAAGTACAGAGGCCACAGAGTAGAGGAGAGATGGAGAGAGGAGAGGAGAGATGGAGAGAGGAGAGGAGAGATGGGGAGGAGAGATAGAGGGAGGAGAGGAGAGATAGAGGGAGAGAGGAGAGATAGAGGGAGAGAGGGAGGGAGGGAGGGGATAGAGAGGTGAGCTGAGGGAGGAGAGGAGAGGAGAGAAGGAGGAGAGGAACGAGACAGAGGGAGGAGAGGAGAGATAGGACAGAGGGAGGAGAGGAGAGACAGAGAGGAGGGAGGAAAAGGAGGGGAAAGAGGGGAGGGGAGGAGGAGAGGAGGGAGGGGAGGGGCCGAGGGGAGGGGAGACAGAGGGAGTGGAGGGGAAGACGGAGAAAAGGGAGGGGAGAGAGACGAGAGAACGAGGAGGTGAGGAGAGGAAGAGGACAGAGGAGGAGAGGAGAGAAAGAGGGAGGAGAGGAGAGACAAGAGGGAGGGGAGGAGAGAAGAGGGAGGGGAGGAGAGAATGACGGGGAGGGACGGGGAGGGGAGAAAGAGGGAGTGGCAGGGGGAGAAAGAGGGAGGGGAGGAGAGAAGAGGGACAGAGGGAGGAGGGAGGAAGAGAGACAGAGGAGAGAGGGGGAGAGACTGAGGGAGG